TAAATATACAGTAAATTAACTCCAATAAATTACGAAATATTTTAAATTTAAATATGCAACAAAATAAATGCAAATTAACTTTTTAAATAAATCAAATTGCATGACAAAGCGTGCGGGTTAACTGAAATCATTAAATTGAAATGTAGAATTAAACCACAAATCCAAATAAATTATAAGCATTTTTATACAATATGTTGGAACTAAGAATGAAAAATAAAAAAAAAATATATGTATATATATATATATAAATAATAGCATTATAAATTGTGTTTTATGTTGCAAAACACATTGTGCCAATGTAAATACATAATCAATTAAAAATTAATCAGGATGTGTTTTTGAGCAACACCAAATCACACGAAAAGTGTTGGCGTTTGTGTGTAAATGTGCAAAAAATTAATTATAAATTACACAGTGCGACCACATTTAAAGCAGATAAACACAACGCAACACAACAGGACATAAAGCCGAAGTCGGCTTTATAAGGGGTACGAGGGAAGGGAGTAGAGTTTTTGACCCGAACCAAATGATTTGTGCATGTTCTGAGTTTATTTTTTGCTGTTTTTGACAGTTTATCGCGTGTTTGATTTATTAATTATAATTTAATAAAATTAATACGAACAAAAACAAACTGTTTTAGTTGCTAATTTGTGACAGGATTTTTTGTTTTTGGTTTCAACTTAGCTTTTTCATTCCTCATTTTTGCAATTGTTAATGCACATGTTTGTTTATGATTACAAAAACACATGCAATATTTATTGTGATTATAATTAAATTTGTTTAAAAATTTCGATTGTAAATTGTATTAATAAAATTTATTTTAATTACACTAATTGACGCTGATTTATTAAATTCCACCATTTACCTACCAATTATTGTAAATCAGTTGATTTAGTGGAGTATTAAGTGCTATGTTAGTTCACAATAATATTGGGGCACATAAAAATAGTAAGAGTCGTGGGCAAATATTTAGCAATGCAATTTTCTTTTATATAATATAAACATTCAATACATTTTATTTATTTTTTGTTACTTTATTTTACATTTTCAATCACAAGTAAATTCTCATTCCTAATTAATTTTCCTAAATAAATCTCTTCCATCCTCATTGTACCATCACCATTCCACATCGCTTACAGAGTTAAGCGATTGATATTACAAAAAATTGTAGAAATAATCAAAAAATTTAGAATCTATTCACACGATTTTATTAGAAAACGGTTAAAAAATGAATTGCGTGCTTCACGAATGTGATCTTCCGATATTTTGGACCATTCCTGAGAGCGTCCAACTGCGATCATTACTGCCCATAACATTACTTGAGATAGAAAATTACTTGGGGTGACCGTTCGTAGTCTCAAATTTTCGGCAGTGCGTTCAGTTATGTAAACTTGATCATTTTGAGAGTTTAATAAATCAATTTCTTGCATTTTAAAGTATTCAACTTGATATTTTCAGTTCTGTTCATTAAATTACCACTACGACGTGAATTTTGTCAAAGTCGATCCTTTATTTTTCGAACAATTAAAGGTTATTTTGCTGTTATTTATCGTCTACCACTATAACGTTTGGCGATGCTGCCTGTACTATTACAACGATTTATGTTACGATACACAAACCATTTATTCACTATAACACGTTTGAGATCACGAACAATAGTTGGTTGGGATTTTCCAGCTTACTATAATCCAATCACAGTATTACATTTGAATTCCATTTCCAATAACTTTTGTTCTATAAAACTAGGATAGAAATGCTTGTGGTAGCTTGTAAATAATATAAACAGCTGTCATTCGTATTAGTTTCACGTAATTGGCAATATCAATTTGATAGACATATCTGTGTGTTATCTGCTTAATAGATTTCTGCAGGCAGCAACAACAATAATATACTAGGGTGGAAGTTCTTGTACACGCATGCAATTAGGGAGACTTTCTAGTTCGCATTCGGAAAAGTATTGCCTTTGGTAATAATCTCATATAGTACAAAATATTTTTTAAGTTTTATTACATTAATATATACTGTAATTTCAAATATTCTGGAAGTCTGAATCTTTATTGGTTTTTATTTGTGCCGCTTATAGCAAAGCTGCTGACTCTACTATCCAGAAGCTACAAGTTGCTTAAAGTCAGGCTCTCTGAAGGTTCATCAAAGTGCCATGGTACATCCACATGAATGACATGCTAAGAGACCTTAAAATAGATCCGGTCAAAAATACATAAAGAACAGAGCTCTGCAGCTATATACGAAAACTGACAGGCTGCCCTACTTAGCACTATCTAATCTCAGAGTAATCACTAACCGCACGGGGCGGTACGCAAATTTTAGATCAGTCATTGAATAATTACGAAGATTATGAGGAATACTCAAATTAGTCAGTGAGATGGATGGCACTCTGCAGAAACCCCCCAGATATCAAAGAGTAAAAGTGTCCAGATGCACTAATTCGGAAAAGGCTCAACAATAAAAACTTAAGTAAATAAACTAAAGTCAATAACATATATTCATCCAAATATATAATCACTTTTATGTATAATATCAAATGATCTACCATGTACAGATTATGTTATAAGGACCGATGGTAACTGATAATTGGAACGTATCATGATATGGCAATGCATATAAAGTTGACGCATTGGACTCATAATTAACCTGCATTGTAGATCTAAAGATCTAAATGTAGGAGACTTAGGCCTGATCCGGTGAAATACTTAAGCTAGATATAGTGATGGTTTAATGCAAAATCGAAAATGAAAACGGGATCAAATGATAGTGTTGAGCCAATGGCGATATTGATTATTATGTTAATTTTTTTATATTCCATATGTGATAAATATAATTATTTTTATTATAACTTAATCAAAGAATTAAAATTTATCTTTAATAATATGAAATGTACAACTGAAATTTAACTCAATGCAAAAATAAAATAATAAATAAAATCTTAAAAATTTTAATTAATTGAAATTTCATTTAATAATGCAAAAGCTATTACTATTAATACTGCACTTTTCATCTACGAAAAACACATTGCAGTGCAAAAAAAAATTTAATTGATAACAACAATAACAACAAACTTATGTTTTTCTTGATAATGAAAAAAAGACAACAAGTACCAAATTACTAAGCATTTACCATAAGCAAAAATAATAAATTCTATTATTATTTATTATTTTTGGTGAAGGTAACAGAAATATATGATGCAAAATCTTCACTAATAAGCGCAAGTGGAGATTTATTATATTCCATATTGACAAGAGCTTTGATATTATTCGATCATTTTCTTTTTGCTTTAATTATTCCCTCCAAAATCAATAAATATATTACATTTATTGTTTTTGTCTTCTGTTATGCTTTGATATCAAAGCAGTCAATTTTTTTTGCTTCAGTTATTTTTTACCTTTGCGGTGGTGTCGGTGCAAATGATATTTAAGTTTTTTACGCATTGATGTGAAATATTTTCTTTTAGTGAATTTAATTAGTTTTTCATATAAAAATTATAAATATGTTTTATTTAAATTAATAATCTATTATTTATGAGTATTAATATTGTATTGAAAAAGTGTTGTTTATTGTAAACTATTATACACGTACATATGTATGTATATAATATAGAGTGCAAATGAACTCTCCGTTACTGCTGTGCTAATAAAAACAAGGGTAGTTACGTATGTTTGTATTAAATAATTACTATGTAGTAATATATTGTGCACTTTTTTAACTACAAAGTGAAGGATTTATAGCTGGTAATTTTTTTCTTTAATGTTTTTAAGTTAATGCTGCCTTTTTATAAATATATTAATTAATTAAATTAAGATATGTGTGATAAATTGTGGATTTTGTTTCCAATATTTTTTATAAAATTTTAAATTTGCAATTATTTAATTAATAAAATATAAATACATAGATTGTAATAAGAAAAAGAAAATAATGAATTTCTGTATATATTTATGTGTACAACTATGAAAAAATGTCCGTCTATTTAAAAATATGAAATAAATTAATGTTTATACAAAAAATTTATTTAAATTTAATACCATTTATAAAGTAAATATTTTATATTAAACAAAATTAACAGTAAATTATATGCTATTAAATAATACAATAAGAATAATTAACACTTAAAAATTCAACAGTAATAAATAAATTTTGTGGGTGTTAAAACAACAAATACATACAAGATTTAATTGACTACAGCAATAATCAATCAAAATCTTAAAATAATAAACCGACGTCGATGTTCGCGTAGTCGATAGCATCGTTTTTGGGTAGTTAGTATGGCATTATTTAGGGCCTTTTCGGTGGCTCGCAATATACGGCAAAAAATGCATGTTGGCCTATTTTGGCCACGCGAGTCATTGGGCATCCACTGTTGCAAATCTGTCAAATGTTTTTGTTTTGACAAACAGCAAATCTTGTATATGTGCATATAAATCAAATATATTTTTATAAAAATATTTTAAAATTAAAATGAACAAGGAATTAAAAGGAATGGTAAGAATATTGGAAATTTAAAAATAAAACACTAAGATAAGTAAATTTTTGTAGGTGCTGTCGATGTTGGGAGAAGAAAGCAACGTTTTACTTGCGTGTATTTCTATAAAAAAATTTTTTACGCATGTAAACTACAAATTAAATGAAATAAAATAAATGTTACTTGGTAATAACTAACATAAAAAAAAATTCAATGTGCTTAATACTTACGATTTCTACATTCTTATTATTTTTTCGTTACTTTTCAAGATTTTTCAAATTTTTGAATTCTGTTTGAATTTTTATTTCCTCAATTCTTGATATTTGATTGCACTATTCGTTGGAATTTTCAATGAAGGTTCACAATAGTTCGCTTATTGCGTTGGTAACATTTTTTTTTTTACTGGCCGATGTGGTTGGCCAGCATAACTTGCTGGCCGAGGTAGAGAAAATAGTGTTGTTGTTTTGCGTACATTGCGGCCAGTATAGGCCTGCATAGGCCAACAACTTGCTGTTTTTTGCCGTACTTGCGAGCCACCGAATACGCCTATTGTTGTTACGTTGTTGGCGTCGCTGTCGACATCATCGTCGTTGATAGCGAGAGTCGCTGTCGGTATCATTTTCAGCGTAGTTGCTGGCATTATTGTCGTTATGCTGTTTGCGCCACTGTCGGCATCGTTGCTGGCATTGTTTTCGGCGTCGCTGTCGGCATTATCGTCGCTGTTGGCATTATCGTCGTTGATAGAGCGAGCGTCGCTGTCGGCATTGTTTTCGGCGTATCTGTTAGAATTATAATCGAAATGTAGTTAATTGTTCAGTAAAATGCTGAGGTCGACGACGAATTTCAATGAAGTGATCAAGCCAGAGAAAAGTCAAATCGACGAGAGTGCCTAGCGATGTTGCTAGCGTTATACGGTATACCAGCAGTAAGTCAAGTAAGTGATTTTAATACAGTGCAAGCTCGGTATTAGCGACTAATTACAAAACACAGTTGTCGCGGAAACCGAATTATCGCGATAAACCAACCCCAAAAAAATAGTGTGCAATTAATATAAACTGAAACCTTTTTATACATATATTTGTGAAAAATATATATTTTAAATATTTTTAAAAAAGTGAGAAATTTCAAGTTGCTTTTTTTCATATAGTTCATATAGTGCTGTTGTCGGCTTGTCATCTTCCAAACCCCTTTGTATGCATATGTTAATCGATGTAAAAGCGTCGTTCACTTTAATTTTATTTTCCTCATGACCACTTTCATATGAGTCCTCCGATTCTGTTTTTGATAATATTATTAGCTCCTCATTACATTCTATGGATATAATTCACTGCAAACACCACAATACACACAAATAAAGTGATAAAATTAAACTCCAAAATTCTTTTTTTTTTGTTCTATACGAAAGATTTGGGGATTTCCCTTATTATTGCTTACTTTGAAACAAAAAATGTGGCATAGCATTGCAATCAAATCAGGGAAGTAGATATATAATATATATTATAATTAGAAAAAAAAAAATAAAAGTCACGAAAATAGAACTTCTTTTTTGTGAACTGTTGCCATTGTAGAACCTGCAATGCTAAAAATTAAACTGTGGCAATAACTGGGCCGTCGCGATAATGGGTAGTCGCCAATACCAAGCGTGCACTGTAATTTTTTACCCTAAATTATAATATTATTATAAAAATTTTATTTAAATTAAATAAATTTATAATGAAAATTACATTGATTTTAAATATTTAAAATATGTATATATCAAGTCTATATATTATATTAATACACTCAATTTATTGTGGTTATAAAAAAAATATTTCTAAATAATTATGTTAATATATTTAATTGTTTTTATTGTTATTTGAATAAAATAACACAATTAATATTTTATCATGTCATTCATATAATTCAATTATTTGCTTTTATATAATTATCATTCTGTAAAACCGAGAACCAGGGTTCTTCATTTGACTTTTTTTGTTAAAAGTTATTTATTAATTACAGATTAACTAATTGGTTTGTTAATTCAAACATAATATACAGTTTTTTTGAATATAATTTTTTACCAAAGTTTATTTCGATATTTTGGCTTTCTTGAATAGTCCTCTTCAAAGAATTTATAAAATATAATATTTTGATATTATAAAAACTTGTATTACTTACTTAAATTTATAACAATTCGTTACCGGATTTCGACCTGATGCAGCGTGTCTCTCTAGGCCCTCTGCTGCGTGCGCGTATATAGTCTTGTAAATCAATTGCGGTTAGTGCTTACTTATCTTAATCACTTCACTGAATAAATGGTTCACTTCTACACCTTTTCCCTTCAAGTACCGCTTCAAATAATCAGCGGAGCTGAAACATAGCCATTTAGTCTTTCGCAATGACCCACTACACTTTAATTCTCTGTGTTGTATTAATATCGTGACAAAGCTCGTCGTTCATTCGTTTGCGGTTATCGTCGCCAACTCGAACAGGACCTCTATCTCACCAAAAACTTTTCGTAAGACATTTTATCATCATGTCGTAACATCCACGCTTTTACGCCATACAGAATCATTGGAAGCATAAGTGATCTATAGAGTAAGATTTGTTGGTCGAGAGACTGTTCTACACATCAATTGTCTACTGCACCCATAGTAGCAACTATTGGCAATGGTGATTATTCGCATTGCTATTTTAAATTTAATAGACTAATAGGATTAAATTTTTTGTTGAAATTAAAACAACACATCAGGATACTGAAGGGATATACTCCACATTCCTGGCCTCTACCTTGATACACCTATATTAAAGGCCCGTGTTTCTTAGTCTAGTGTTAGAATTAAAAATTATATGTATGTATCTTCGCTCAAAATCGAGATACCAATCCAATTAATCCAACTTAACCTAATTGGACTCATTTCATATCTCATATTTTTATGTATTTTCCTTTATAACGGCTAAAATGTTGACTTTATTATGAACTTAAATACTTCAAGGTTTCTTTTTGTTTTTTTGTTAAATCAACGGAAAATACGTAGTTTTTATTGCTGGCAACTTAAAGGCAAAATCATTATCTACTCAAGGCGATGGCCATAAAATCGAATCTGATAGCGGAATAACAAAACACTTTGCACGAAATTGCTTTGTTTTCAACGCAAAACATTGATTATTTAAGTTTTAATGAAGTTCTCAAATAGTTTTCGCTGAAAGCATTTAACGAAATGTAAAATTTTATGGCACCTCAAGGAAAAGTTGCTGACTGCAGCAGATGACAGTGCGGTTTCATTTGATGCCATCAGGACCTGTTGTTAAAATTGCTAACAATAAACAAACCAAAATAGGAAAAACTTAAATTTTGCAGGCATCAGCAAAATTTTATGTAAAACTGCAACAGTGCCAACTCACGTCAATAAATGTTGAAGGTATCTAATGTCGAGGAATCACACCCCCAACACCCCACACCCCACACCAGCACCCACATTGACAATGACTTCCATACGTTGTTACAAACTGTGAAGCGGATTCCTAGTATCAGCTATGGAAATTCGCTGGTATCGAGCTACTTGCAATGGTCACAATGGATTACTTAAAGCATGTCAACAATAAAAATGCAAAGAAGCCACAATAAATGCTCGAGCATAATAAGCACATTACAGATTTTTAATAGCAGATAAAACAGCAAAATTAAGTACACGCCCCGCACTGCAGCATTTCACCACATCGTAGCAATGCCAACTGTAATAGCAGTTTGATGTCAAGCAATTTAATGTAATTGTAATCAAGCAACAACGTTGATGGCCTTTCGAATCCTGCTGCTGTAGTATCCTAGCTCTGTATATGGTGGCACCCACGCTGCGGAGTTTTTTGTACCCGAAGGCGGATGGATAGGTACTGCTGCTCTGCTTGTTTTAATGTAACGCCTTGGGCTCACTTCAGTTAAATTGTTTTCTTCTTTTATTATTATTATTTTTGTGCCACTTCAATGATGAAGTACCACATCACAATCTTATACAGTGCCATCGTTACTCCTGAAAACGTATTCAACATTTTGAAAACAATAACTAAAAGTACTGATAATACCGTAACTTTCCCTAGCAAATATTCTGCAACAACATCTTCTCATAATCCTGCAAACTGACTTTTCCTTGATACTACGCCGTAGTCGTAGCGGGAGGATTTAAGCTTTATTTACCTTAACAGTCATACCGTCGTACAGCAGCAACCAAGAAGAAGAAGAGCAACAACAAATACAAAAGCAACAAACTGAAATTACTTGCAGCGCGTATTTAACATTTTGATTTTAATGACAACAATCCCAAGCTACAACATGCAAAATGTATCTCACTTTATTGTATCTGTGAGCTGATGAAGGCAAGGTACAAACTCAGGGTTCAAGATTTTAAGTAAATGAAAATGTGAAATTACCCCAAAAAAGTTGAAAGGTCGTACATGTGTCAAGTGTGTTGCAAGTTGCAAGTTGAAGCATAAATTCCACTTAGCAATTTTAAGATTTTCATTCTCGCTGCCATTGCATTTAATGGAGATTTCAGTTCAGTTCTTACAGTTCTTACAGTTTTCACAATTTTCATTGCTTAATTTCAGTATTTCAGCGCTTCAGTGCTTCAACCAGTTTCAGTGCCAGCTTATATCAAAAGCATTATTCTTAAAGTTACTAAGTTTGCATAAAGAGTCGAAAGTTTACTTTTCATAACTGCAGGCAGTTTTAAATCCTTATTCCTTGCATATGCACTTTCCTTGTTTTCTTTTGTGCTTTGCACCCGAAGTTGTCTTTGGTTAAGAAGTAAGCTCTTGGCTTAATAAAGTAAGCCAACGCAATCAAAAGATACATTTCATCATACACATTTTAAGATATTTTTACTTTTTTTTTGCACTATTTTTAGAAAGTATAAAAATATTTTATAAAATTAATTTAACAAAATTAAATTTGTTTAATATTTAAATTTTGTAATGGGTTGTTGTGTCTGCTTGTTAGTACTTTGGCGCTTCTGGAACCCATGGTTCATGGCCGCTCATGGCTAGCACGATTTTTAAAAGCGTTAAATTACCAACAAGCAAACACAACAAATGGCGCAAAACGTGGTGCCCGAACTCACGTCCCTGATATGAAGAATCTCATTCTTTATTGACTGAGTTATCCGGGCTAGTCACCTTGTTATGAGCGGTTTCTGAGAGCACCAAAGTACCAATAGGCAGAGACAAGAGGGCTTTGTGAAAATTTTTAAGAAAAAAAAATTATATAAAATAAATATTTATATAAAGATTACTTCCAAATATGCTTTCGATAGTAAGTAGACATACTAAACCCTCACTATGCAGCAAACTGACTTAAAAGTACTTCTTAAACCTATTTACCGGAATGTTACTCAACTATGTGACAGACGGTAGTTCTTATTAGTGTCATTTATTGTGATTTGAATATTAATATTTTAACAATCAAATTTGTAAAATATTGACAATTACATTTTTGTTTATCATTTAAATTAATTAATTTAAATTATTAGAAGCCTTTTTCAAAGTTTCTCAAACTATAGATTTAATATTCGTCCTCACTCTCGCTAAGCGTTTTAACATCATCATATTTTTCCAGCTCATGATCAGAATCATCATCACATACAGACATGATTAATGGCCTAACTTCAATAGGTTTTTGTTCAATCTCCTCGAAAATGTTTGGATCGCATTTAACAAAATTGTTAAACTTTCCTTCCCTCAAGAGGCGTGGCCACATCATGTGTACTCGTTTGAGCAACTTAACATACACGTACAAGCCACGTAATTCATGGACAACTCTCTCAGGTTCAACTAATCCCAAGAAGTTTAATATGACAACATTTTTCTTTTCATTAATTTTAGCTGCAAAAATTAACATCTCATCAGTTACTTTTAAGTTGTAGGTTTGAATGTCAGGTACATAAATTTTTAAGCTAATGATAAAGTTAGATTGGTACCATGTTGTTGGTGGACACTCATATAATTGCTTTAATTCAGGTAAGTCGCTGAATTGATACTCTAACTGTGCAGTTTGTGTAGGAATGTTGTTATTCAAGACAGATAAATCTTCTAATTCAATTGGCACTGTTGTTGGTGTGTCAGTAAGCGTATCGGTTAGTTCAATAATTTCAACCTTAAACCTTGGCTTATTATTTACTGATTCTGCTTCAATAACCACTACATCCTTGAACGCTCTGTTCATACTGTCCAAGTTAGTAGCTGCAGAAAATTTTACCATAGACTTAATGAGATTACTACCGCTCACAAACTTACTGTTGCGGTTATCTTCTTCGGGCCTATCTACATAATTTTCTTCCATCCAGTAGAATGGTGCAAAATCATCGTCTTCCTCCCAAAACACTTCTTCATCCATATCATCCGATTGAGATATATTCACATTATAGGTTTTCATATTGAAATTATTATCTGTAAGACATTTTGTAGCTTTTATATAATAAATTTGTTTACCCCAAAAAGAATAGCTTTGTTCATAATTATTCACTTGACACTGAATTGCCTGATAGGGTGCAAAATTGAGCAATTCTGCCGTTGTTTCATATAGAAATTCAGTTTTTAATACATTCTTGTCTACATTAATAAATTCTCCATAGTCGCAAAGGAGAAACCAGAAACCTTTTAAGCCGTTATGACGGTCCGTTCCATAAAATTTAGCACGCGAATATTTTTCATCATGTCTTACTATACAATTTGTGCGAGGAGATAATAAGTGCTCTGGCAATTCGTATATGGTATCACATTTTATTTGTTCAATATACTGATCTATCTTCTCCTGGAGGAGTTTTAGCATAGACTCATTTTCATCATTAATTATTTGTACAAAAATCGTCGGCCAGTCGTCAAAGTAACCAAGTTTTATGGGTAGTACTTGGTCTAAAGGTATAGAAGTCCAATCATCTGTTGATTCTTCATTGATATCAAATTCTTCAAGCTCATTAAGAACATTCTGACTCTCAATCAATTCCTCACTTTTCTCGACATTAACATCTTCCTTTAACTGATGTTCTTCATCTTCAATAATTACAGTTTTATTTTGTTTCTCGTTTATGAAATCTCTTGCAAATTCTCGAAGATTTATTGCCACTTCACTGCTAAAAACTGCATACTTTTCATCAAACAATATTTTCTTTATACAATGTTTTAGTGACCAAATATTGATCGATTTTAAATCTTCATATATATTAATCGCATCAACCCAGATATAATTTCCAACAGCGAAATTAATTTTTATATGAACGCATTGCGTCGATTCGAATTTTGCTATGAGCAAATCGTGCAGAACTTCCTTTATACTATGTTCCCAATGGCGCTCATTATAACATGGAATTACACCTAAGAGGTGAATATCGATGGCCTGTGCTGGGAAATATTTAAATTGTTCATCGCACACATAAATTAAATTTGGATTAACCGTCGAAACAATTGTGCCAACATCTATTAGTTTAAGTGTAAACTTGAGAGAAGTATCTGCATCCGGATCTTTATTATGACCCACATCGATTATTTTCGCCCTATATGGCATTTCTGTTATTTTGTATATACATAAATCACCAATTGCAGGTGAAGAAAGTACAATCAAATTGTCTTCGTTAAGATAATGAAAATTTAGGTTCATCTCAAAAAGTGACATTTCGTTGGATTTACGAATTTGTTGAAATGCTTCAGATTTATTCACTCTATACCCCAAAGGACGTGCTAAAAAGTGGGATGGTGATATTACCTTTAATTGAAAAGATAAAAATATTTTATTAGTATATATAGTATATTATAGTATTTCAATCGCTGCAAACAAAAAAAAAATTGTTTTTTTTAAATAATATATATATGATATGAAAACATATATATCAAATTCATAGATATTTGAGTGTACATCTAATTTAAATAATACAGATTTAATGGTTGACTTTAATGGTTTACAGAAGTATATTGTATATGATCTATATTATAAATAATATACATTCAAAAATTGGCTTTAATAGTTTAGATTAGAACCAATACGCAATAATTTTACTCTGTATTATATATAGAAATATATTAATTATATGGGTTGGATGATAGCTCATATTTTTAGTATCTACTAAGTGACTTTAATATTCTCTGTGAATGAAAAGACGTATAATGGATTTTTTGGATATTTCATTTTTAATATATATACGGGTATTTTTTTTTATTAAGTCCAGTTTTGCTGTACTTAATATCAATGTCCAATTAATGATCGTTATTTTAATATTGCACGCAGCACTGACGTCATTGATTAACCTCTGATTTGATACACAGAAGTAAATCAGAAGTATCTGTTTAATACCTGTATTAACGGGGCACTGTGTGTAGGACAGCATGGAGTCAAGCTCGCCGTACCCTGTAGTATATCCTCTCGTACCCATCTACTGGTGCTGGAAGAAAAGATACCAGAACACCAGTTGGATCTATGTCCAGACTTAAGTTTCGAAGTGCCGCCTTTGTTAATGCAATCCACGATATTATCAGTACTAGCATTGGCTAGACATTAGCATTTATCAATGATTTCAGCTGAGTGTAACACGACGATTCTTGTACCTAACATTACGAGGAATTGTATCAAAATGGATACTTTCGCTTATTGGGGAGGATTTATTTCTCCCTACAATTCACCTCACCTAACGTAACAGCATTGAAATAAGTTATTATTTAAAGGACGAGCACAGATATATTTTAAAAGTATTGCAAATATAATTGTTTTTAAAAAATATTTACCTTTCAAGAATATTAAGTAAGAATAAAATTTTGCAATCATATTAAAGCCTTACCTTGATAATCTTTACACGCATATCTCCAAAACTGGGAATAAGTTCCTCATCCTTAGGTTGATCGTAGGAAGCAAGCCTGTGGCGATACTCACAACGTAATTTTATGCACTCACCGAAACCCAATAAGTATCTGCAAAGTGTTTTCTGAGAGCAAACTTTTTGAATTTCATTTTCTTCCCAAATCTTGTCGGCAACTGCTATAATATTACGATGTATATTTGTTACAGAGCGGCGCTTCATTAAATCAATTAAAGTGCGAAAGACAGTGTGATTTCCCTCATCCAATAATATCATTGACTTTGTTCCTGCTGTAATGGGTAAGTCATTTAATCCTTTAACAACAAAATTGTGTATATTATTCGCCATTGTCGCAAATCTTCTTGCGAAGGATGTCCAAGTGGCAGGCAAAGAATAATGTATTATGTTCTGCAAATCTGGTGTTTGAAGTATTTTGTAAATGTTATTATCAGTAGAGACCAGACAAGCTGCTGTAGTTTCCTATAAATATACAGATATGATAAGTATGAAAACAAAATTTATAAAGTAGAGATAATGAATCTTCTTACATATCCCGCCAGTTTATAAAATTTGCTATAATTTTCTTTTGAAGAGTCCTCTTCGAAATTGATGTATGGATGTCCATTGTTCTTAAGAAACTCGACAACTTGCAAAACATCTTGAGGTGAATTGCATAGTATAAGTGTACGTTCTTTTTTATATGTATGAGCATTCATGATATCAGAAAGTAATTGTAGTTTGTGTGCAGAAGCACTGAGCTTTAATTTAATATCGGTATTAGCATAAAATGTGGCTTCTGCAAAATCACCTATCAGCAGTGCCATATCCTTAAACTGACGTAACATACTGCTAAGTATTTTTTCCCAAGTGGAGGATGTAACAATTACTTGAAGTAATTGTGGTTTTCCGATTTTAATCAATCTTCGCAAGACATATTCCAAATCGTCTTTCGACTGTGCGATTATTTTGTCCATATCGTCTATCACTAAATGCATGAGTCGTTGCGAATCAATTAAGGAACCAACTTCGTCATGTGTCAATAGAAATTTTAAACTGGAAGGCGTTATAAGTAAAATTTCACACCCGGACAATAATTGAAATTGGGTTTGGTCAAAGTTGCGAATGCCAAGTGACGAAATAATTCTACTCTTAGTTGACTTCAACATATCTGTACATAACTCTTGTACGGGTTTAATTTGATACTGCTCGTGGAGAAGTACAATTGCCACAGGTCCAAAGGATTGTGGAATGTAATAGTGTTGTTTGCGCATAGCTATTAAATGGCAAACTATTGGCAGATAACACAATGTCTTTCCACTGTTCTCCTCTCCAAGCAAGCACATGGAGTTTCCACGTAACAAATGCGGCCAAGCATAAGCCTGCAACATTTTAAGGTCAGTTATGTGTAGATGCGACAACTTATCTAGAATTGGTTCATATAATTCGTAATATTTCAAATTGTGAATTGGTAAATATGAATTCTTTGAGTGTACCAATATTGGCTCCTTCGTTTTTAGTACTACATTGTCATTGAAAGTTGTCTCAAAGTACAATTGTCTTATATTCAGCTTATTTTTGTACTCTATTAATGGATCAATTGCATTTCTTTGTTCAAATGATTGAAAAACGGCTTGTTTTCGATCAGCTTCAGTTAATACTAATGGTAGTTCTTCTGCGCATTCTATGTGATTACCTCCTAGCAGAGAACGTATGTTAGTTTGTCCCTTTATATTCATTTCATCTTCATTGGTCTTGATCAATTGCTTAACATGCTCGTTTAGTTCTTCGGATATCAAGCAATAATCTTCATCAGCTTTTTTTAGGAACGATTCGATGTGTGCGATTCCGTCATCAAAGAGAGTACTAAAGTTAAAAAAAATATAATTCACTTATGTATATAGTGTTAATTGTTACGTATTATTGCTAATATTGTAATTTGTGATTGATAATATATGTCGTACATATGACATATTGTAAGAGAAAAGAAGTGGAGAATTCTAAGAAAAAACGTTTGACCTATAAATAAAAACGGAGAGTACCGCATATAATGCAATCAAGCGCTAGAACGACTAGTTAATTATGATACAATCAGCAAATTCAAAAAACAGTGTTATATGTTATGAATGCTAGCGACAAGAGTGCAACACAAGATATTTGAATATGATATCAAAAGAACAGAAGAAAAGGAATGCCAAGAAAACGATAGAAAGACAGTATCCAGAATGATCTAGAGAAGAATGCCAGGTTGTTTTAAGACAGACCTAGGTTCAATACGGTCTGTGTGACGCTAAAGATGATGATGAATTGCTTGTAGTGCTTATAGAGTAGAATAAAGATTTGATTTTAATGACGAAGTAAGTTATTTGATCTATTTTGAAAATCTTTGTCTATAAGAGAGGTACACATATCAGAAAAACGTCGGAATGATTGTATACAAATTGAAAAAATTGGTGTAATAGATTTTCATAACACTTCAGAACGAAAAGTTTTCACTCACTTCTGAAGACTAGTGCTAACATTATTTTCTCATGAAAAATCGACATGAATGAAACTTCATAAAACCAAAAATTTGTCTAAAATTTAGGAATATTTTTTTTTATATGTCAATTTTTTGTGCGACAAGAACGTTAATTAATAACTAAAAAATATTTAAAAAATTAAAATAAAATTACCAGTTATCGATATCTCTTTTATTCACTTTATTGTAGTCGAGCACCTTAATGTGGATCTCAATTTCACCTTCATCTTCTTCGGACCAAACATCACTCATCAACTGCAGTCTTTGCTGCCAACAAACTTCTTGAATACCAGGAATTGTCATAAGAACTTTATTGTGCTTGATTTTTAACTCTAGTCTTTTCTTTTCATATAACTGTAATTCTTCCTCAGTCATATTTTTTCTACAATCGTTTGCGTCAATGGACTTCAAATTTTCGTACTGTACTGTATTTTTAGCAAGAACTACTTGTTGCTGTTTATTTTCTTCGTCTTTAGGTTGAAATAATTTTTCTTTATTCGCAGTCGTATTGGTATTTATATTTGTCAAATAATTATGTTTTTCAAGAAAACTATTCAAAATTCCTTTTAAGGTGCTAGGTTGAAATAAATTTGATGGCTTTTCTAATGATGTAATAGATGTCGGTTGTACATTACTAACATTTTTTTCTTTAATAAGATTCACTATTTCACCAGCGGACGACTTAGCAGCTGTTGGATCTATATGAGCATAGCTATTGGTAACTGGTTTTTCTTCTTTGACAATATTAACTATTTCACTAGCGGACGACTTAGCTGATATGGGATACACATGAGTATCCTTATCCGGAACTGGTTGTACTTTTTTAATAACATTTATTATTTCACTATCGGACGACTTAGCAGCTGTGGGATCCACCTGAGTATTCTTATTGGGAACTGGTTGTACTTTTTTAATAACATTCATTATTTCACTATCGGACGACTTAGTAGCTATGAGATCCATTTGAGTAATCTTACTGGAAACTGGTTGTTCTTCTTTGACAATATTAATTATTTCACCAGCGGATGACTTAGCAGATGTGGGATTTACATGAGCATCCGAATTGGGAACTGGTTGTACTTTTTTAATAACATTCATTATTTCACTATCGGACGACTTAGCAGCTGTGGGATCCACTTGAGTATTCTTACTGGAAACTGGTTGTTCTTTTTTGACAATATTAACTATTTCACCAGTGGACGACTTAGCAGGTGTGGGATTTACATGAGCCTCCTTATTGAGAGCTGGTTTTACTTTTTTAATAATATTCATTATTTCACTGTTACTGGAAACTGGTTGTTCTTCGTTAATAATATTCACTTTTTCACTAGAGGAAGACCTAGCAGTTGTGGGAAATATATGAGTAACTTTACTGGAAACTGGTTGTTCTTCTGTAATAACATTAACTACTTCAGCGGAGGATTGTATAACGTCTTTTGAATTTCTTTGTACTTTAATTTCTTCATGGCAAGAAATTTTATTTAGTTTTCTTTCAACTGCATATTTGCCTTCATTCACACCTTTGTGTACTTCAGCTAAAATTGTAGTAGTATTTACATTTATTAAATTTTCATTTTCACTTCCATAGTCATGTTTATTATAAATTTCATCATAATTTTCAATTTTAAGACATTCATCCAGAAACCTTATTTTTTGCTTTTTCATATCAAAAGTTTTCTCATTTTCAGGAATATCAAGCTCTCTCTTCAAGATAGCAGGCTTTTCCATATTATTAACCAAACGATTATTTATTTTACTTCTATTAAAACCAAGTACATGTTTTTGGTTTGCAGTCATCATATGTTCTTCTGCTAATAATTTATCAATTTTGCTAAAATATTGTTTCATGCTTGGATTGTCCACTTTTTTAGTGCATTCTACAGGTGTTGAAGCAATTCTCTGTTGGCTGATGTTTGTTTCTTGATCAATATTCTCTTTTCTTGACAAAAATAATTTAGCCATGTCAGTTAAGGACTCTTTGTTATTGAAACGGAAATTTTGTTTCTTAAGACCGTGTTGCGTTTCAGTCTCATCTTCTGCAACAAATTTTGGTCGTTTGTTCATTGGACAGTAAATATTTTCCGAAGTTTTTTCACGATTAGTAGGTAACGCTAGTGGATTATTTATTGGTTTATTATGTCCACTTATGTTTAAGTTCATGATTTTCGTTTTATCCAGTTCTATATTTGAAAATAAACGGTTCTTATTATCGGCCAAAAATTGCATGACTTTACTTGTTAGAGACATTCCAGCTTCATTGGATTCTTCTGTATTTACAATATTTGATACACGAGTCTTAACATCGTGTTCTGAGTCCAATACTTCTTTTGCAGCTATGCGTTTGCGTGCTGGTCTTACTTTAGGTAAATCATCTAAATCATTTGTGAAAAATTTGTCCTTGGAATCATGAAAATTGCTGAACTTGTTGTCAAATATGGATTCGTTTTCATCATCTACTTGTGTTTTCATCTTATTGGGATGATAACGATTGAAATTTTTGTGTCGTTGCATTTTATGGTAGTCATTATTCCTGCCAAAGTTTAACCTGCTTCTAAGATCCCGATACTTTTGCACTTCTTTATCGTCATCCTTATTTTCCGTCATATTATTAACTATATTAGTATTAATTGTGATACCGTTAGGTTTGTCTTTTAATTCATCAAAAATTTGTTGAAGTCTTGGAGATATGTTTGTTGAGGCTTGACAGTTTATTCGCAACCGGTCCTAAAATAAAAAATAATATTTTTGTAAAGCCTTTTTATTTTTTCAAATATTCTATTAAATATGAGAACATGAAATTTATTACAAAAATTATTAAATTAGTAATTACCTGAATACTACTAAGTTTTGGTATAGACTCGATTTTATTTAATCTGTATATAGTTTTTCCACTGTTCGACAACCACGGACAATGATTAAGATATTTAAGATATGTACTTTCGACGCGAAAATCATCTTCAGCAGGTATGCTAAATTCATAATCATTCAAAAGTTGGCTTGCTTTATACTCAGAACCATTTTGAAAACGTATATTTAGAAAACCCCACTGTTTTCTATTCTCCGAGAGATGTAAATGATAAAAAAAAAGATATCTCGCGTTTTTCATCAGCCATTCTATAAACTCACAAGCGTCATCACTCCAGGACATTTCACTTATAATATGATGAACATTTACGTCATCAGTTATAGGTACAGAAGGCTTAGGGTAAATATTAGCCATTCCACCACATATAATACGATCAGTGGGTTTCCTCAGCTCAACTGGTATCTGCCATAAATACCTTCCGTCTGAAGCAAACGGAAACCCATGATCAATGGCCCATAATATATATGTGGGTTTTTCGCTTTCATTATCCACATGGAGTACTTGACCCCGAATATATTTCGAGAACGGTAAATATTGCACCGCAACTATTTCATTTAAATGGGGTCTAAAGTAACATTGACCACTGTCTCTGGTGCACTCTGCTAGCAAGAGGCTTTCTACTTCCAACACCTTATGTAACGAATCGGGTACATCAATGTAATACCAAAATAGTTGTGGGTTTATATAATGTGTAACAACAATACGAAATCTATAGGCCGCTGAAAATTAAAAAAAGAAGAGAGGAAGAAATTTTATATTTTATAATGCAATTTATATGTACTGTAAATATTTTAATTATTTAATAACTGCAGAAAATAAACTAATTCCGTCACGAATCGTGAAATGCAACTCTCTTCAAAAACTCTTTTTTATTATATTGTCTTCTATTAAATTATTTAACACTTATTTATTCAATATTAAAGTAAATGTTTAGTATATCATATTTAATAAATCATATTAAACATTTACTCAATGGAAGCATTGGAGACATGAGTGCAAATCCATTTACAAAAATATTGTTGATATGAAGTAAATCAAAATGTAGTGTAAACATTAAATTTATTTTTATATATTAAAATAAAAGTTAATATAAGTTATGTTTTATGAATTCTAAAGTATATTATCATTATTAGATAAAAATTTTACAATCCAAAAATTTCTAATCTGAAGAGAAAAAGGTTAACCCGCCTAAAAGCAATAATAGAATGTTTCCTTTGGTTTTATTAGATCTGTTAACTTACATAGGATTGCTTGAATTACTTGAATCTCAAGTTAACTGGTCTAACGAAGCTAGTGAAATCATACTTTAAGAAACAATTGCTCTGGATTATATCAAAAGTGAAGAAAATCCGCACTAGCATCACTTTTTCCCACCATTTTTGCTTCTTCCAGAAATTTCTAGATTTCGCAAAAACTATTAAAATACACCTAAATATTAATAACTGAAATAGTTTATTTATAAATGAAACTAGATCAGAAAAGATATAATATTTAGTATTATAAAAATTCTGAATAAAGATAATCCAACAATATCATCCATTTTATATATTCAATATTAAGAAAGCAGGAATAAAGTAGAAATAAAGAAATTAAGAAAAATCTCACCGAATGAAAGTGTCGAAGACATAATAATCGGAACTCTAATTACGAAAATTGATGTGATGTAGATCAAAATTTAGTGAACATTAATATTATGTTTATATATTAAAGTATGTATTATGTATCTATTAAAGTAAATCAAAATGTAATAAAAATTAACATTATCTTTATGTATTGAAAATTAATATAAGAACACTAAAATATATTATAAATCTTAGTTATGAAATTTGCAATAAAAAAAATATCTTATTAAATCAGAAAAAACCAACTAAAAGCAATAAGAAAATATTGGTTTACGTTATATCAGAGCAATGTGAAAAAAATGTGCTCACTGGCATCACTTTTTCGACGCCATTGTCTGCTTAATCTAGAAATTTGTAGATTTTGCAAGAATTAAAGTATTTTACAATTATGTGATATTCATGTGTGACTCCACATTTAAATTAAATTTTGAGAAAAAATTTAAAGATATGAATAATTCATATTTTTGATATTAATTAGTAATTATAATTACCAACTAAAATAGAGACAAAACGTTATAAATACCTTTCTTCTCAGGCGGCCTAGACACTTGGTAGTTGGCCATATTGAATGACTGCAATGAAAAACGCATTATAATAAATTATAATAATTTATTTATAATAAATTAATATTTGTGAAATTGTGAAGCATTTTAATTTAAAACATTTGCGATAAATATATTTAAGTCTTAAACTATTATGATTTATAAAAATTCTTACCTCAACAATAATTTTATAATATAAAAAATTCAAGCACGGGAGAAAATCTAAAAGAACTACTACACTGATTCTCGACTAGACACGGAATGAGAAACTTCGTTAATACGAAACGTACAAATTTTTTCGCATGTTCGAGAGGTTCCGTTATGTGAGACAACTATATGATTTTTGATATAAGTTAGTATGAAATCGAATGATATGTGAAATCTCCTTTATTTACCCCTACCAACGAATAAAGCGAAAACTACTGCGTATTATAATATCATTTCATGTTAATAGCACATTTTAGAATAATAAACTTAATGTGCAGTGTTGAGTAATGAATCAAGTAGGGTTAATTTTTCTTACATGTATATAAACCAGTAGTTCATTTATTTATGAAAAGTCACTGAACAATAAGAAATTACATACCAAAAATAAGCTAAACCAGATTTGTAATGTATTTTATTGTTGCCTCATCATCATATACATTTTATATATAGTAGATCGGTTCTTGTAATTTGTAACTATAAATGTAGTATAATTTGAAATATGTATAAAATCAGAAGTTCCTCAGTCTCTTCCTTTGAGAAAAGTAGATTACGCTATCACAATAGCGCAACTGGTTGTGCACGCTGGACAAGTATAGAGCAAGTTATGACATGTTTGAGTTATAGTCAGCTGTTTAGGTTAAAAATGTTTTAATTGTTATTCTTAAATTTACTTAAAAATATAATCACTGTATTTAATAAGTTTGTTTCCAAAATCTATTTTAAAACTGTTTTTAAAAGCAATTTTAAGAGCGTTTATAACTAAAAATTAAAAGTACTTAAAAAGTCTCTGTCAGCTGATAACTAATACTTAAATGCAAAAACTACTCTTAAAAGTTCAATTAGTTGTGCCGTAAGCAATCAGCTGACTTGTTCTGTTCAATATGCCGATTTAAATTAACAAGTTTGGAATAAGTTTTACAACTTATTTTAGCGCAGTTTTCATAAGTTTCGAAATTAATTTATAATACCCCAGATATTTTGCCAAAGTACCAAGATTACTTTAAAATTAACAGCAATATGACTTGACAAATAAAGTGTGATTTCATTTGATATATGTATGTATTTATGAAAATTATATATGCATACCAACACTAATACAAAAATATTAGATTGATTTAAAAATGTTCGATTGGGTTACAAAATTTGAGGTACCGAAAGTAAATCTAAAGTGAAAATTTGAATTAAATTCTGTTTTAATATCGAAAACGCCAGTAGAAAAAAAAACATTTGATTATTTATGTCGAAGTTCAAATTGCGGGAAACATAAGAATGCATTGAACGTAGGTTTTTGACGTAAGCGTAGGAGAAATATTATAACAGCTGATAGATACATGGAGTAATCACTTTATATTTCTTTGTGTGCAAATTATTTGGTGATCGTATTGAACGATGCCAACGAGACACGAAGTATATTAACTTTGAAATAAATCGAAGAACTATATTTACCGATTTATATATTCATTATTTTATGCACTATAACTGTTTAATAAGATATATGTATACTTTTTGCTATATAACTGAAGTAGAGTGATTGAGATTTTCCGAAATAAATCTGTGGATTATGTTAAAAGATATGTATATGCAGTATTAATGCATATTTGTTTAACTGTTTCATAAGATAAAAATATTTTTGTATCACTAAAATTATTTGAAATCTTTTAAATTGAATTTCTACGAATTTACTGAATTTCAAGTAGGCTATGAACCTACTGGAAAATGCTAAATTTAAAAAACTGTTAGCTAAAATTATATCAATTAGGTCAAATGAGGTATCCAGGACAATATTAGTATGATATAAATACCATAAAACAATATGTATTGATTATTAAATTTGGTTAGGTTCGGTTGTACGGGCGATCCAAAGAGATCCTCTTATTCTTTTGGTTCATTATGTTATCGTATAAGGGAAAAACTAAGGGGTTTAAAAGTACCTTAAACATTTGGCAAAGTTTACAATGCTATTTAATGAGAGGTCCTGCAGTTGATCAAGATTCTCAAAAAAGCAAACCTCTAGAGTAGTAAAGCACCTAGCCTGTTTTTGGGGATGAGTAAAGCATATGAGAGGTACTTTCATCGTCTTCCCCACAACTGCGACATATATAATTTAAAAGGAGATTGAATTTTAAATTAGTTTGACATAAACTTTAAAAATTAATAAAACAATATTAAATATTTTAACTACTGTAAAGTTTATAATCATTTTTTATCAGGGCCGGTTTTCGTTTCGGTTCAAGACAAAAAAAATATATTGTTTCAGTTCCGGTTTTTGTTTCTGCAAAATTATTGGTTTTTTGCGGTATTCGGTTTGGTTCCGGTTCGATGCCCTACTTTTTATTATATTTTTGAAAAATGTGTTTTTGACGTTATGTTTACATATTCCTACAAAGTATTAAAATAAAACAATTTGTTATTCTTCTTCTTATATTTACAATTTATTCCGGTGTGCTATATTATTCCTTTATTCTTATTACAAACCTAATAATTTATCAAATCTTACATGCAACATTAACTGCTTTACCGAACATTAAACTGATAAATCAGTTAAATTTGAAAAAATTTAATCAAGTTTATAGTCGCAAAACGGTTTAGTGTGTCAGAACAATACTCTCATTTCGGGATCCACTCATATACAATATATCAAACAAGAAGCATCCATATATATGATAAGATAACCTGCGTCAAAGTATTTATAAAAACGAGTATTAAGAGATGATGAGTCGTATATTTGAGATATCATTCAAATGTAACATAAAAAATGTCCTTGTATAAAATTTTATTACAAAATTCCTTAAACGCAACATTAAAAATAAGTTTGTTAACGCGATGCGTAAAAATACTCATCCTTCATTCTTCAGCCAATATTGCGCGATAATTAAAACTTCAAACATGTCACGTGGCTGTCGATAATCGCATCAAAGCTACATCACGTGCATTATCTGTCATTTATAATCTGTAAATATATTTATTTTCTGATGCAGAATATGACTATTGCTCGAAAAATCGCTACGAAGTAAAGCCACGCCACATATAATTACAAAATCAATGAAATGCGACAAGCTCATGTAATCGACATCAGCAGCATTTAAACAGCCGCAAAATAGTATCTCTTATCACTCTGGCATCACTAGCGTTGTGTGCTGCGTATCTGTATAGATATTAAAGTAACTATATATATATGTATATAGATAATTTCAACATTAATGTATTTGTTTAGATACTTAAGTGTATTGATAGGAGTAATCAGGTTCAGCAGATTATTAGTTGCATCCGCCTATGTCATATACATTCTGGCATTGTTTGTTTATCTGCTCTAATGCTGTGGTTACTGCATTTCTTTTTTTCTACAATGACTTTTCTCTATTGAATTATCATAATTATTAAATTATATTAAAGCAATGCATTTGTGGAAACTATTGTATTGTATCTATAATCAGCGTTTCGTTTGCACTCACATACACTCATTTTGCAGGTGGGGATTAATTTTGATAATGTGCAGCTAAACTTATGCAATCTGTCAATAATGAATGATTGTAATTTATTAAAACTTCCGATTTCACGCTCTGACATAATATATAATGATTTCACCACCACACCTCCTCGCAGCGGTTTTAAAGGGTCTTAGCGCATTTTGAATCATTTAGGCATAAAGTTTCATTTAAAATTAATTATGTTTAAAATATTGTGAAAACACTGTGCAACAATATTTTAAATGAAACGCAACAAAAAAGGAAGGTGGAAATAAAATTCTACAAATAGACATCGATTATGAGATACTCTACATTATATTATACAGTTTTAGAGTCTAAATGGATATATCACTGTTAGGCAATATGTTAATATGTATATTAACATTTTAACGAACTGAGCTATATTGTAATATTACTGGGTTCCTGAAATTAATTATGAGATAAATTATCTATTGCGGTATGGCTTGTGATAGTTCACTATGCCATAATGTAATGTTATTGGATACCTGAAATGAAATACGAGATGAGTTATCTATTGCGTTAGGGTTTATGTTAGTTTACTATGTTATATTGAAATATTATTTTAGCTTCCTGAAATAAATTACAAGATAAATCATCTATTGCGGTATGGTGTATGTTCGTTTACTATGTTATATTGTAATATTATTGGATGAACTTGTAATATACTATATTGTAATATTCCTGAAATTAATTATGAGATAAATTATCTATTGCGGTGTGGCTTGTGATAGTTCACTATGCTATAATGTAATGTTATTGCGTTCCTGAAATGAAATACGAGATGAGTTATCTATTCCGGTAGGGTTTATGTTAGTTTACTATGTTAGATGAATTACCTATTGCGGTGTGGCTTTTGATAGTTTACTATGTTATATTGTATTATTATTGGGTTCCTGAAATGAATTGCGAGATTAATTAGCTATTGCGGTATGGCGTGTGATAGTTTATTAGGCCATATTGTAATGTTATTGGGTTTCTGAAATGAAATACGAGATGAATTATCTATTGCGGTAGGGTTTATGTTAGTTTACTATGTTATATTGTAATATTATTGGATAAACTTGTAATAGTTTACTATACTATATTGATATTATTGGGTCCTGAAATGAATTACGAGATAAATTATCGCTTACTATGTTACATTGTAATATTATTGGATTCCTGAAATGAGTTAGTTGATAAATTATCTACTATGGTCAAGTGTGTGTTAGTTTACTATGATATAATTATAATATTTTTGGGTTCCTGGAATGAGTTCCAAGATAAAATATGTATTCCGGTAAGACTTGAGTTAGTTTATTATGTGATATTATGCGATATTATTGCAATGCTGATGAATTGGGGTATGAGGGGTATGAGTTACGGACTTATAATAAAAACTATGCGGTCACTGCGAGTCTTTGTCGTATATGAGATAAAAAGAAATACTTTGGTTTTCAGCAAACTTGTAGTGCTAACGGGTTGATGATTCAATGGTGGAAATTGCGAAATGCGAACTGTTTAGAAGCTGCTATACGAAGATAAGATGGAATCTATCAATCTCTTTTTCATTTTATATGTC